AGTCCAGGCAGAAATGAGCTGCAATTAGTCTTCACATGGGATAGATGCACAGTGTCCTTAAAAATGATTATTTCAACACAGTTTTGATTTCATTCCTCAATTAAAAGCAGAAACAGCTGCACACAGAGAGTGAGATCAGCGAGCTAACTGTGAACACAGCAGGCTCAGATCTAAAGCCCAATGCAATCAATCACAGCCTCGCAAACATCTGTGTCATGTTGCTTATAAGAAACCAATGAGGAAAACAGCATGTCAAATAAGAAACAAGTGCATTTGTGTTTCTGCCTGTGAGTTTGTGAAACTTTATTTAACTCGTGTGTGGGGTTTCCCAATGGCTCTTAAGACTTTAACTGCGCTAAGCTAACTCCGCAGGTGAGGCTGATAGAGGCGATGATGAGGAAATGTTGACAGGATGCGTCATGTCATTACTCAGGTTAAGGAAGATTCATATGTTGTCCCAAAGAACAACAAAAGCTGTGCCCACAGTGGCCCTCAGCCCACAGTCTGGCAGGTGACATTTCCAATAGCTGGACACACCTTCGTCAACACACACTATAATCTAGCTTTCTCAAAACACACAGACACAGGAGCATCCATACAGGCAAGCACATATATTTACCAATGCCACATGGGAAGGAACAACTGCTATGCAATTTGTCTCTAGCACCATGTCCTCTACCCCACAGGCAGGTCCCGTAACACTGTCATTAGTGACTGCTTTAACATTCAGCTGGAGTCCGGCCACCAGCTCGACAGTCCAAGGCTATATTTAGCACCTATTTGTTTATCTTTTATATAACTTGCATACAATGTATCCATAGAGCATCGATATATTAACACAATTCAGGTGCGATCATTTCTAAAACCTTGTAATAAACCTTTAAAACGTTTTTTTACTGACTATTCCCCAGGTGTGATTTACTAAAAGATCATTAGCCCTTTCATGAAGCAAATGACTTAGTTTAGGGTTAGATAAAGTGAACATAGCAGAAGTGTATGACAGGGTGACAATAGCTGTGTTAGGGGATGGTTTGTCACTTTTTAAGTGTACTGAATCAGTAATATAAATGTTGTTTGATGGAACAATCATATGGGACCAGAAATGTGTTAAAAGGGTCAACAGCAATTGAAAAGACATTCATACAGCAACAGAAACATCACAAATAAACTGGTTTGCCAAGTCAAAAGACGCACAAACATCAACTTATCAGAATAATATATAGAAATCTGTACAAAGTTGTTCCTTTCTTCAATGAATCATCAGTCAAAATAACTGCAGCTTTCCTATAACGGTGCTTCAAAGCTCTCCACCCGTTTCCTGCCTTTGTTTCACTTGCTGCAAGGTATTCTGTGGTTCACCTGTAAGGCTTCATAAATCAGGCCCCTGGATACATTCATAAACTGCTGACCCATCTTTTTCCTTAGGCAGAACTCTAGGGTCAAGACTTTACTGAATGTGTCCAAATACACAATTAAATCGTACTGCTGTTGAGGGCAGTTTGTTTGTTCCTCTTATGTTCTTGCTTTTGTTGACTTGTGAACACTAACCATGAAAAGGCACACATTTGTACAGGTTTGACCAATTGCAGGGCGCTTAAGGTTAGGGTTCTTTGACTGTAGTGAATTCTAAAGTCTGAAACCTCTCAGCATGATGGATGAATTAATCCACTTGTTGAGAACTGCTTTTATTATAGTATAGAGATTCATCTTGAATTGTTTTGAGCACCGGAAATGAAACACTAAGCGAACAAAGCTGTAGCACGGCTGTATATCCTCACCTTCTCCGAGGCTGTATCGTAGGCGGGCGTCCCACGCCTGCAGGGCCTCTTTGCTGTCGAAGCCCAGTAGAGCAGTCTGGTTGAGGCAGAGGATGGTGAGAGTGAACGCCACTCCTTCAAACCACTGTCCCGTTTCCACTCCGCAGATCTCCTCCAAGGTGACACTGGCCCTCTCCTTGTTGCCCTGAGCTTTGTCGGATTTGTCTTTAAAAACCAGCAGCACTAGGCAGTCTGGAATCAGAAAGTACGTACATGACATCACATTTTTGCATTATTTTAGAAGCAGCAGATCCCTGAAAACAACTGGAAACACATACATTAAATTCCATCGTCAAATAATACACACAGTAGCTGTTCTGTAGTCTTTTGGCACCTTCAAATAATCAGTGTCAACTGACAAAACAACACTGTGTGTGTGCATCTCACTACACACACACACTTAACCCACATAACTGAGGCATGAGCGCAGACAGCTGTGATAACACTGACATCCAAGATCTGAAGAGGAGCAGCGCTCACCTCAGTATAACCTGTGAGCACGCTAAGCACCAGATATCTAAAAGAAACCTTTCTGTGTAATGCAATACAGACACTTTAATACTGGGAATCAGAGTTCTTAAAAACATTAAAAGATGTAAGGTAGGTTTCGACAACCTTGAACTCAACTTCATGTAAGCTGAAGCCTCTTCAGTAAATGTGACCAAATAACACAAATTCACTGAGAGAACATTCATGGTGCATCTAAAAATGCAGAAGGGCTCAGTCTTTTATAATTAAATTATTGGATGGGCTCAAATAAGGGTCAAAAATACATTGAGCTTGTGGAATCATGTTTAGAAATATTTTGAAAACTGTTTGTATATCAGTTTTAACCTGCAAAATCTTTGTAAGAGAAATGTTACTGTGTGGAAAGAAATCTGACAACTATTTGTGCACAATTAAAATCAAGGTGAGGCTACACACACTGACACAGCAGGAAACTGTGAAACAACTGAACACACTTGAATGCACATTTAAAATGACATGGATACATTTTAACCCTGTATTTACAACCAATTCAGTGCAAAAAGTTACACTTTAAATGTACTTCCTAAAAATGTACTTCTATTTTGAAACTGTACTTGGCAAAAACGTTTTTCCTCTCAGAGACTTGGTGCAACATGTTGATGCTAATACAAGTACTTTTACTTGAGTAACATTTTGAATGCAGGACTTTTACTTGTAACAGAGTAATCCTACTTCTACTTAAGTGCAAGACCTGAGAACTTTTTCAACCTGTCTTTATTTCCGAAGTTATTACTCGTTTGAGCCCACATAGTTCTGAATGAACGAACACAAACACGGCCTCGTCATTACTGGAAAACACACCTGATATTTTCAACCTGCTAACGAGCTAGCTTCGTCTACTGGCATAGCCAACATGTGCAAAAACTGCGTCAAAGCTTTACGAATATTTTTTCATTTCGTTAAGAAAGAAGAGCACAAAATAAGCTGTTATACCTGCTACAGGCGACGGCTTGCGAAGAACGACCCACCTAGTTTTCCACTGTGAAAGAAAGCAGAAAGTACACACAAACTTGTTTAAGCACAGATGAAAGTACTTATGCCATATCCGTCAGCAAATTTAGTCACGCTAAACACCTTTTTTCCATCTCTGAGTCTGGCATATCCCTCCACGACAACAGAATCCGTCATCTTCAGTCATGGTTCCTGACAGCTGCACAGTCGCTGACTGAATGAGGGGTCACTTTCAAAATAGCTGCTCTCTCCCTGCTGGAGGGGCACACACTCCCCCCAGCAGAGGCACATGGAAAAAGGCATGACCACTATCCAGTGTTGTGTGTAACGCGTTACAAAAGTAACGGAGTTACAGTAATGTAATAATTTTTGCTGTAACGAAGTAATGTAACGCATTACTAATGAAATGTGGGTAATATACTACCCGTTACAATTCTCAGTAACGCAGTTACAACACATTTTAACCCGAAATTAAATGGTGTTTTGTTTTTTAAGAATGTACCAACATCGCGAGACATTCCAACACCAGATTAGTAAACCTGGTGTTTACCCTTCAGGCTCATCAAGATCCCTCCGCTTCGCGTCGGGTTCCCTGATCAGCCTGTCGGGTGTTCTTTTCCCCATAATGACCGCCTCGCTGCACATTATCCCGCTTATTACACGGCCATACTAAACAAACTACAGAGCCCATTCCGTGTTCCTGTTATTGTTTCCTTCCTCTCTGCCTTCTTCTGGTGATTTATCTGACGTCCAGCGCTCCGTCTTTTAACCTCTTTTCCTTTCTCTTTCTTGATCCTCCTTAGCAACCTTCATTATAGTCCTTGACAGTGGTCTGTACTACTGTATTAACAACGTGTCACATGTTAAGAATTTACAATCAGAATCGAGTATTCAACTAAGCCGTGTAATAAAAGTTGTTAGTAGCCTTAATGGCCTATAGCTGTGCCCTTCACTGAATGTATAATGAGCTGCACTAAACTACATTTTAGCATTTTAAATACCTAGCCATTCTTTTGCGGTTATTTTGGTAAAGTAACTCAAAAGTAATATAAAAGTAGTGTAACTCATTACATTTCAGAGACAGTAATATTGTAATGTAACTTATTACTTAAAAAAGACAGTAATAAGTCATATGTAGGCCTACTGTATTACATTTTGGCCCGCCATGCTGCTGCCACCTGGGCGTCGGTGCACCGCCTGCTGCTGCTTGAGGAAACCTTCATTCACCACATGTACTTCTGAAAGTTTAAAAGTTTAAAAGTTTCTTTACAAACGCTGGCTTAAGAAATATAAACGTGTTACTTTAAAATAAAGTTTATTAGGTCGAAAATGCTCCTGGAAATCGAAGATATTGAAAGTGGCCCTTCAACTGTGTAATTGTACAGGACATTCAAAATGAAAAGGCCCAAAAAAATTATTCCTGGGACAAATTCCTGGTGAAAATAGAAATGTGCTGCCAAAATAATTGATATCCTTAAATTAAAGTTAAACAAAGTTATGTATTTGATTTGAAATAGTTAAAATTCAGATTATTTTTTGTTTACATTAGATAAATTGAAGTCTCACTTTAAGTAAAAGCACTAAAATAACTAAATAAATGTGAGTTTAACTTCAGCTATGAGTTTGCAATATTAGAATGATCTTATATGATCATATATAAAATATGTTTGCATTGTTGTACTATAAGTGTCTCAAAGGATAACACGGTTCTATAATTCTGTGCAATATGGTTAAAAGGCATCAATAAGCTTCTTAATTCACATTAAATTGGGATTTTCTTTGTGAAAATACATACAAATATAACTCATGTATTAGGCTCAACAACATTCAAAGCTTTTTCAAGTCATAAAAGGTTTATTCAGTCACTAAGTGTTTCACAGTTAAAAAAGATAATCTATAAACTTCCACAAGCATTATAAATATAAAACAATAAAATAAAGTACAAAATATTATATATTAAAGCTATTATCCAGGTAACATCCATTCACAAAGCCTTGGGTTTGCGTGTGATCACTGAATTGATCCAATCGATATAGTTCGTCACTTTAGTGTAAACACCGGGTTTGTTGGAGCGGGCGCAGCCCTCTCCCCAGCTGATGATGCCATACAGGAAGCTGACATCATGATGCGCACAGGCCAGAGGGCCCCCCGAGTCGCCCTAGGGAAACACATAAGTGGATACAGTCTTCACACATAATATAAACAGACATGCATAGATGAAAGCGGAGTCGCACAAACAGCTGAGTCACCCACTTGAAACCTAATATATTACTAAAATTGCACTCTACCCACAAGCTAAACAGATAAGCATGACATTTCATTTAAGAGGGAAGAGCGGATGATTGAGTAGGATGTCTTTGGCTGCAGACGTTTCTGCAGTTTTTAAACCCTCACTAACATCCTCCTGTCACTTCACTCAGGGGAATCCCTGCTGCCATCTTAAGTGCTGTTCCATTACTCTGATACGACATTCTTACATAGACCCTTTCAAAAAGTGAGGGAGGTCTACAGCTATGTGGACTTTGGGAGTTGTATTTGCGCAGAACACTTTATGATCAGTCGTGAAATACTCCAGAGCAAAGAGTCGAAAAAAAGAGAGCTGGTTGCGATTCTTATATTATTATACCTAGCCTTGTTTTCTTTCTAAGACATTTAGCAGCAGAATATAATTTTTTACAAATAGTATAAATGATAATACATATTTACAGCTGCCAGATGTAGCTTACATAGCTAGCGAAACATCTGACCAAGCTACTGTTAGTTGGCCAACATATAACATGTCGAAATTCAAGATTAAAAGAGATAATGGTGGACACACTTGGCCCAAGCTTCCAGGAAGTCAGCTGGATGTTGAAGCACCTTTTGTTGTTAAAATCATCGAGAAATCAGGCCATGTTGGCTTTATGCGCCACTGAGCTACTTTAATAGGAATAAAGGGGGCCCCACATCAAGCGCCCCATGCAGTTCCCTTAAAACAACCATGGCTTGACCTGACACCTAACTGAAAAACAACACAATCACATACTCAAATTATAAACATGCGAAAATGTCGGAGTACATAAGCTTTTATTGGGCTTTTCTACCATACTTTTCGCAGTCTGGGATATAACAATCCCTGTCTGTTTCAAATGTTTACATACCTGGCAGGCGTCCGCACAGCCGTTCAGCCCCGCACAAATCATGTCAGTAGTGACATGGTTGCCATAAACATTTGGCTTCTTACAAGCGTCATGAGGAATCAGTCTCACTCCAGCCTCCTGCAGACTAGAGTAACCCTCTGCCCCTGTCAAAAGAAATAGCCCCAACACGTTACATTACAAGGAAGTGAATGGAAGTCCCCCATGAAACCAGGAAGGTACTTGGATTTTTCAATTAGTTTCAATTACATGTTCTATTGAAGGCCCATCACCAACACAGGTGTTTCCACGTATGTTTCCTAATGAGACCTATTGATTGACATCTTTACTCTCCTTTCAGGGTTCACAGGGCGGAACAATTTCGTCACGTCATCATCAGTGTTATGAGTAGGTAATAAAGTATTATGACAAAACATTTCTAGGAAAGCACCACCAGATTTCAACTTGACTGAAGGTTTACTTCTTCATAGTAATAAAAGGGGGTGTGCAGGGCACAATAAATGAATACTTCAAACGTACCACACTAAATGATATCTAAGATAACCTCTTCCAGGTTGCTAAAACCCCAAAGATTACAGGAAAATAACATCAACTAACTTAATGGAAGCTTCAGTCTAAAAGGCATTTCTTATCTCTATAATTTTACTGGTACAACCCCATTTATTCCATTATTTGTTTGTTTTTTCACGACACTGTGTCTCAGGGCTTCTTAATATTTAAAAAACTATTAATGTGTCATACCCTCCTAACGGGAAGAAACTCAGCTAACTGATGATACGAACCATTTTTACCGAAACAAAAGACAAGTCTCACAAGAAGGGTCTAAATGAGCCCTGAGCGAAAACATGCTAACGCACTTAGCACAAAACTCTAGGTATAAATCGATCGATATACTTATCGGATCTGCACAAACAAGCCTAGCTAACATGCTGAGATTCCACAGATTATAGAAATATAAGTATCATCACTGAGCGATCAGAACTCGCGACAGGGGAAGCAAATACAGACAACACATGACGTAGCTTTAGGTAGCAAAACACGGAGATATGCTCACCTTTAGCTGTTATTCTGATCAAAAGTTGTGTTCAATGGCATTAAAACGAGAAAAACGCCACTGAAGGTTAATCCATAGGTTAATCCAATGTGTCTGTCACTTTTTAAAAAATTATTGATAATCCATAATTCAATTTTTATGTAAAAATCGGAGAATTCATATTAGCTGCTAATGGTAGCCACCAGAGTGTATGCAGCTTCCGGTTTTGGCTACGCGTCACTCTCACTCCTTATTTGGTAACGTGTGTGTGTAGAACTTTCCCTCGATTCTATTGGCTCTAGCGGTTAAAAAGAGATGTCAATCATCAAAATCAACCAAGGGGGGCCAGAGATAGGTGAAATCCACCCAAATGACCCCAGAAGTGTTTTTTTTTTTTGCTAAATCACTTGTTTTGCATCAATCTTGATACAGGGTACTTATTATATGTTATAGTTTGGATTCCTAAAGCTTTTAGTCTACTATCCCATCATTCAAGGGTGGTTTTCACTATAAGTAATTTGTTTTTTTTTGGACGGACACAATAATTTACATTTTTTTACTGTGTTCAATCTGAATTTACTTTAAAATAAAAACATCTATATTGATTCTGACTCTTCTACATCCAACTCACAGGTTTATCATTGCTTTGAGAAAAAAGATTATTAATTTACCCCTTTTAGAAGTGAAGTTATGGTCATTTGTTCTGGGAATGTCATTTTCGAGCCTGAGACCTGGAAACAGGCTCGGGGTTTAACAGGTTAAACTAACATTTCCTGAGAACTTTGGAAGAACTTGAAGCACAAAGCACTGAGCTTTGAACACATACATACTGTATATTGACAAAACAGTAAAAAGACAAAACAACATTTCCACTGCTTTGACAGTTTAATGTTTCATAAGGAAATAATGTATTGCCGTTCACTATCCACCCAAATGAAGTGTCTGTTCCAGTGTATCTCTGTACTGTAGGTGTAATCGTGATGAAACAGCACGTCCATGATCTCCCAATCACTCACTCTCATGCATGTGTCCCCAGCCGCTGATGGTACAGCAGAAGCTATCAGGGAACGCCATGCTTTTGTCCGGGAGACAGATGGGTCTAATGAACGGAGTTCTTCTCACGCACCGCCCGTCCTGCTTCGCCAGCTTAATCAGAACTGCAAAACAATAAACGCAACGTTATGAAACCGGTGACAAAAAGCGTAGTTAAACGATGACACAAGTGTTGACCAATGAAAACGTTAGTGTGTATGAAGAAGTCAGTGTGTGTGTTCATGCGGGGGAGCACAGGGAAACAGCTGCTCAGTGACGCACAGCTGTGCACGCAAACTAGGGTCTTAAGTGAGTTTGTGTGTTTCTGAATGGGGACAGGAGGTATTTCTAGTTTACTTGAGTCACTGGTGTGTGTGTTTCTGTGTGTGTGTCCGTTTAGTGCTTACCAATGTCATGTAGTGTTGGATTAAACACTGAGAACTGTTTTGGAAAGATGTACTCCTGCACTCCGAACGTCCTGGTGTTTGGACCCGTGACGTTGAACCTCTGCTGGCCGAGCACCACCCTCAGCTGAAACTTCAGGGGGCTAAAGGAAGACAGATTATTATCAGTAGATGGTAATGCCAAGTATTTACTCTTAATGTCCATCTGTTACCAGACATTTTAGTCCAGAAGCCTCGACAACTACAGGCTAAAACTACTCCGATTAACTTTGATCCCCAGAGGATGATCCCGGAGAGCTACAACCTTTATTTTGGCACCACCGTTAAACTAAAATGTCACGTTTACACAGGACATTTTAAAATGTAATGGGCCGATTTCCATTATATTTATCCAGTACCTTGAAGCTCCATTCCAGATCTGAATTAATGACGTCCTAGCTTTCCCTGAGGACAATATTAACACTTCTCGACCCAAGACTCTAATAATAGCTAATCTCCAATATGGTGTTCATTAATTTGTTTGTTCTGCGGGGTATTAGGATCATTGTGGACCCTTGTTCTGCTTTGTTTAACAGAAAGCAGATATCATGTGCCGTATCCTTATAGTAAACTGCTAAACACTCCAATATCCATTCAGTGATGTCCAACTCGATGATGTAATGCGTTAGCCAAAGATCTTTGAACTTGAACAATGACACCAGATGCCTGTTTGCTGACATCAAGAGAGAAATGTATGCTCATGCATGTAAACAGCATCTGTGCGTGAGCCGTTTTTAGGTTTTCCTCGAACTGGACGTCTAAATATAGGGCCTTCGTAAAGCTGTGATGATGAGGAGTCAAAGCCTTTGAATCACGGGCCTTCTGAGTTGCGACCTCTGTGACGGATAGTAAACATTGTGTAAATAATGCTCCCGTCTGATCTATAAATGTCCTTTTGGTACCATATTTTCAGCAGGAACTTGGTGGGAGATTTATATTTTTCCACACACTGTTAATTAGGGGTGTAACGGTATACGTATTCGTACCGAAAATATTCGGTATGGGCCCTTCGGTTCGGGACACGTGTGTACCGAAGTGTACCGAACGAATATAACGTTAAACGTATAAAATTGAGAACATGAACAACTTTTTGGAAGTAATCGCAGGTGCTGCGTCGCAGCATTCAGTGTAATTTGCTCACATTGGGTTCAACGCGTCATAGAGCGACCAAGTAATTTCATTGGACGAGAGGCATACTATGAGAGCTGGTCACAGGGATGCGTTCAAATGTAGTCAGTAATTTGAGGAACTGTCGAAATGGCGAACGCAGATAAAGTTGAGCTTGAAAATCCTCCAGCATCATTGAAGTCTCCGGTTTGGGAACATTTTGGTTTCGCAGTTACGTACAAGGATGACGGACAAAGACAGGTGGACCGAACCAAAGCTGTTTGTCGGCATTGTTCAACTAACATTGGTTACGCGGCTGCTGGCAATACATCAAACTTGCAAACTCATTTGAAAAGGCATCACCCGAACGTGAATATCACCGGTACCAAAAGAAAAATGACTGAAGTGCAAACCCAACTCCCACTAGCATTTAAGCCTCCACCACTCGCAACAAGTTCAGACCGAGCCAAAGCTATTACAAACGCCCAATATCCTTATGTTGCTATGTTAGCAAAGCGCTACCTGGCTGTATCTGCTACCTCTGTCCCTAGCGAGAGGGTGTTCTCCACAGCAGGAGACATTGTTAGTGCCAGCAGATCTGCCCTTTCGGCAAGCAATGTGGACAAGTTCATTTTTCTTTAAAAAAAACATGAAAATACAATGACAAGCAAGCAAGTCCTAATGTCAAACTAGTACAGTACAGTTCAAGTACAGATTATTTCAGTTCATTGAAATGCTGCACCTTAATGTTTATTTTATTATATTTTGTATTTATTTGAGTGAATATTCACAGTTTAATAATAATTTAAAAAAACAAGGTATGTACCGAACCGAAATGTTTGTGAACCGTTACACCCCTACTGTTAATACAACAAATATGTACGGTATGTTGACTAAACAGGGCTACCAAACATTTGCCTTTGCAGTGACATAAGTACAAAAATGTGCAACCATTACAGCTGGAATGCGTCCATGACATACTTGCGGAAGAAGCAGTGAGCCGCAGAGACGATCCAGCAGGAGGAGACCAGAGTGCCGGCGCAGAAGTCTGACTCTCCGATGTAAATGGCTGCCATCCAGGGGTGAGTCCCTGGCAGCGCTGAGTTCCCGCCCATTATCCGGACCCTGGCTATCGATAACCTCTTCTTGTGCCTTTTCCCACACACATGCTTTTTGCCGGGATTGGAAGGCTTCGGGACATTAAATGGGATAATCCTTCGTGAAAAGGCTACATGAGGAAACAAGTAGAAGTGCATGATTATTTCAGATTCAATGGCATAATTGCTACTATAAACTACATTTTGTAGAAGTAGAACTAAAACTAGGGCTGCACAACTAATCGAAATTGTGTAGAAATCGCAATACTGACTAGTGCAATGTCCAGATTACAGTAAGCCTAATATTTGGAAAGGCGAAAATATAGAGTAAAATATTGTTGTGCTGCAGACTAAATTAAAAAGTGTTGTTCGGTATAGATCTGTTTAAAAAAATAAAGAATCCCAACATGACCTTTTAAAAAGAAATTCCAATGAAAATATGAATACGTTTCAAAACTGGTCATTCCTCTTATACTGCCAATCATATCGCAATTCCAATTTCATTCCAATAAAAAAAAAAAAAAGCAATTACTTATTTTGATTTGAATTGTGCAGCCCTAACTACACCAACCTACACGACTACATATTGGTCTAAAAGCTAGAGTATGATGCTAACACACTTCCTAAATACCTCTTTTGAATATTTTCTTGTGTGTCACAGGCTGATTCTCCCCTGTAAGAAAGCAAAATGGGAAAAGCTTGTGGATTCTGTGCATACCCCTGGCATCGGGACACACGGCTGACGGTGCCAAATCCCACTCACCACATAAACATGGAGCTGCACCTGACATGACATGTTGATTCAGGGTGAGTCATGCCTAAGCCCCCTTATCTCATCCAGCCCACGTTGTAAAAAAGCGCCCTGCCAAAAGCAGTCAACTCTGCTGTATTCAACTTTTTCGGAGCAGCGTGACTCAACGGAGATTCGCTGTGTTCCCCGCGCTCTCTGTTATGATCCCAAACACTGCATTTCTAATTAAAAGCGGAGGCCTTGAATAAGCTGTTGATCTGTTTTGATTGTGTTTCATAATCAAAGCAAATAGATGAACCATTGTCAATGATGGCCTTCCTGAAAAGCTGCTCCTTATCTTTTCATACTTTCTAATGATGAGTTCAATCTTCACATAGGACAGCTTAATGAATGCGCCATCCTTTATAAGTTACATACATTTACGTAAACAAGACCAATAATGACCAAGCTTAATTATAAATGGAAAGCTGATAGTTCCAGAATGTATCCACAGTGATAAAAGCACAATAAAGCGGACTAAGCTAACATATTATTACTCCTAAAACCCATGGACGAGCTTCAAAGTATCTCAAAACACTTGTAGTGATAAAACCAACTACATGACAAAATAAATACAGATGCTAATATGTTCTTCAACGCTCTATGATTTCTAATGAGGCCTGAGAAAATGTCCCAAAAACACATGGTCCCACTGCTTACAAAACTAGATGATCAAACTTCTCCATGTGCGCCGTTTACTCACACACAGACATCACACAGGCGGGGACGTCACAGTACTCCCAGGAGATGGCGCCGTCATTTAGCGTGTAGCACCACGGCATCTTGTCTTTATCTGGGTTTCTGCACACACGGGAACACAGCAGACTGAGTGTGTGTAGGTGTGCCACCTTTGATTATAACACTGCAGATTACTCACATAAACTTAACGGCACCATCTCTTAAATTACGAACGGAGAATTATTTCAATCTTGTTGCTCTCACATTTGAATAATTAGGAATAATGTCTCACTGAGCTGTTATTTAGGACTTGAATCAGAAAGGCAAATAGTCACTCAGAGTCGAAACGTGTGTGTTTGTGACCAAATCCCAATAACTACTTGTAACTTAATGTTTGGGACTTTTTAGGTCACATACTAATTGCTGTGGGCATGCCATATGGCTGCTTGGTTGTCATAGCAACAAAACTGACTGAAAAAAGCAAGGAGGGCAAATGTGGAGGAGATATTATTTTTAAATTGTATACAGGCGTGATTCACCATGTGCTTGTTTAACGCTCACGGTGGTTTCATGACTGCTGGTTGCCTCTGAGGACTGAGCGACAGGTGTTAGCATGTGAACTCCACAGATAAGCTCAGAATAAAGTTAGAAAAAGTCTAATTTATTGGAAGAATATGTTGAAATCTAGCCAAATAAGCCAGCTTGTACACATTCAAATCATAGAATAACTAGCTTTCATTTGTCATGTTGCTACTAGAATTAGCGGGATGTCTCCACACACACCTGCAGTAGGCATGATTCCCGAGGCCTTTGCGGGGCGAGTCGTCCACCGTGCCCACGTGCAGCTCATTGTACAGCAGGTCTGAGTTCCAGGCCACACAGCGGGCGCCGGACAATGTCGTGTCCACCACCCCTCTGTAATCTGTGCCCCTGCCGGTGTAGCACTCTGACTCCGGCTCTGCACACACACACACGGGCGGAAACACGCAAGACAAATGTGTCAATCATGTCTTGATTTCACAATGAAGTATGTCAGCAACATGCATACAGTTAGACAATGACAGGTTACTTTCTTTCACTCTCAAATTAGTCAGAACACGCCTAAAATAAACTCAGGTTCAGCAGCTCGCTCTTGTTTCCACCTGCCACCATGAATCAAACCATTATCACACACACATGAATGAACATGAATGCACTGTATGAACATGAACACGTCACAGATACACTCAGAGAGAATGACTTCCTGCTACTACAGGTCTGCTTTCACTCACCGACGCTGCAGTGGGGGCCGCCGTAGCCCCACCTGCAGTTACACACCTCCTTTCGGGTGGCTGTGATCCGTCGACACGTCCCGTCGTTCTGACAAGGGTTTAAACGGCACACTGAACACACAAAGGCAAAACAGGGCACATCATCTTCAGCGTTCATACTGTTTATTTCCACAAAATGTATGTCTGTACTATGCGTGGTCAACAAATATGCGATAAGTGATTGTTTGGTCCATTTATGGGTGTGGAAACAAGCCATTAACAAAACACTGACATATCATATATGGCGTTTGTTGACAGGCAGCTTATTTACACATTCAGCATATACAAAGCCACATCATCAATCACTTAATGTACTTTTGGGCACCTCATCAAAGCTCAATATTTCCTCTTTTATCTCCTATTTTGGTCCCTACCACGCTCTTATATAAACGTTTTTAGCCGTAACAAGCAGCTGTTTGTTTATATAGAACAAAGTGTTAATAAATGACACTATTTACATAGCAACAAACACCAGATAGACAAAGTTAGCAACCAGCTGGTCAACATAGCAGAGCATTTAGCGGCTAAAGGGACAAGAGATATTTACCTCAATAGTTGGTCTGCTTGTTGTGTAAATATGAAACTGTTTTCTAAAATGAGCTCCATGCAGCTTTGAAAGGTGACAATACTCTATGTTAATGTAATATATTCAGCAAGCTGTGCTGGTCTTAAGAGACAAGAAAGTAATTGAATGCCGCTTAAATTAAATAAATGAACCTGAACCTCGTGACGCCACATCTGTATATCTCTGCGCTGTTTAAGGAGTTTAATTTGTTACCTTCAGAAAAGTTTCCAGTGAGCCAAAAGATAACTCAAAATAAACCTAGGTGCAATTACATTCCAAAGCTGAATCTAAGGTCATGCAGGTGCATTCAGTTTAAAGGAGATTTTTTTTTCCCAAAGTAAGATAAGCCCTTACCATCACGACAAAAAGCGGTTTCGGCTCAGGGAGCATGAAACCGACTCCCTGCTCCCTCTTTTATGCCGGGGAATCTGATTAATGCCCAAGAACATCCTCCCCATAGAGATGAAAGTACCTCATGGACCCGTGGGGTGTGTCCTAAAACACCATTCCTGAGTCACAGTGAGTCATATAATCTGTCTTTTCTTCCACGGCAAAGTTAGGCTTGTAACTATGGAGCCGTGATCAAAGAGAGAAAGCCTGTCCTCGGGCTGGGAGGAGACCTGACACTTGTATCTTTTGAGGTTTGATAAGTAAGAAAAAGCTTGTGAAAAAAAAAATCAAAAGGCATCTTTCCTTAGAGTGCACTATTCTCCATTTTTAGTTAGTTAATGCTCCGTGTCTCCTGCAAATGTGGCTTATTCTTCTTCATGCAAGGTAAAGAAAGTTCACCTAACTGACAGTTTGTGGAAGTGCATAGTGTTTAGGTTACGGTAAATACATCCTCATATTGGGTTTCACTCTCATCATCTCAACAAAAGCACAGGATTGAAGCAGCTGAAAACACGTCTTACTTGTGTAGCGGACTCTTTCACACTCGATTTCCCCCGCCACACATGTGCACTGTTCCACATTACGGAGGTGAATTCGTCCCCAAGTCTCTCCGGTGTCATAATAGTGCAGGTGTACCATTTCATAGCACTTCTCTGTGGACACATAAAAGGCAATAGGTTGAAATGTGAGAGGAGATTGAAGAGCTCAATGGAGCGCGCAGAGCAAAGTTTCATGGCTGAGCTGAGCAAGATGCATTCAAATGAGAAACATTTGTGTGTCTTTTTGGTGTTTATGTTTGATTGAGAGCCATTCAAAAGGACTTTGAATGAGTGATTTGCAAAATGACTCATAACAGACCTGTGTGAAATTAAAGGGGAAACTTCTTTAACAGAGATAAGAGAGGGAAGAAGTAAAGCCTGACATCTTATTCTAGGTCTTTGAAATAAGAGCTTGACAAACAAGATTTTAAATGAAAAGAAGAAATCATTTTAATATGACCAATATGCACTTCCTTATCTTGCAAATCATGTAACATAAAACGTTTTTTAAAAGCCATTGAAAGGCTTTTTTAATATTGTTTTGACACTTTCCCACTAACAATTCCCAAAGCTTTTAACACATCCCACAGGGAACATATATTGCCTTTTTCCAATGTGCGTTATTGAACTTAATTCAACCTACATAACTTAATTTACTGATGAATACCATCAAGCTCTTGGAAAAAGCCAGTACCTTAACCTGCTTTTCAGAGGTGAAGAATTAATTTTGGGGCTCATTTTTCATCATGACTAGGAATAAAGTTATCAGATTGAAATCATAACCCTCTGCATATGTTTCCTATAAACATAATGAGACAAATTGCAGAGTTTGTACATTTGAAAGTTATCAAAGAACCTTTATTTTCTTTTGCGGCAGTAAGTATGTAAGCTTCCTGATTTGCAAAATGATAAGAAAACACTGAATGAAGGCACAATTAAATACGGATGGCCATGAGAGTCTGATATGTTGTGTTAAGATTGAATGGAGGATATATATAACAAAACAGTGGAAGTATACATGTCATTCATAAAGAATAACTATCTCAGAGTGTACATACTGTGCTCACAGTGTATGCCAGTGAAGCTCTCCGGACAGGAGCACTCAGCAGAGTTATTAGTGTGTGGGATCCGTGTGCAGACCCCTCCATTCTGACAGAGGGTCACCTGACATGGATCTGTGATTCTGCGCGACGTGTGGACAGAAACTGAAACACATCAACATGGACGGACACAGTTAGAGGATAGCCATGACAGTATTATGATTAATTAACTGCACTGTGTTTAGTACACTTACCATCTGGAATAATTTTCTGTGGCGCACAGAAACCGTACTGCTGGTCCCGATCGAAATTATGAGTGAGGGAGCACCTGCAACAGAGGAGGAATATAATAGAGTCTCCAGCATGTCACCGAGATTAAAAAAGGAGACATTTGCATCGAGATTAGGGTTTGGCAATATACTAATGTTACCGTGAAAAATTCATCAACTGTCTGAGATTTTTAGATGATGTTCCAGTGTGTCTCAGCCTTTGACAACTCAGTATGCACGAGTAAATTAGGGATGCTCCGATCGCCAATTTTGGGGCCGATCGCCGATTGACAGAATCAGTATCGGCCGATACCGATCGCCGATCCGATCGAGTGGGCGGGGCCTATGGGGATCTTCCATTTAAAGTGATGTTTAAAACTCAGTTAATGGGGCTCATTCACTGGCGCTTCCACAAACAACAACCAACATCATTATTACATTCAAATGAAGTACATTATTCAAGTTTACATTAACTTTGGATAATAACACGGGAGAAATGAGCGGAAGCTCTCTCTTTTCCTCTCTCTCTCCTGACACCCTGTCAGTATCTCATGCAGCTCACTGATCCAGTAATGAGTGACCCGACAGTGAAGAATAAACATATTTATAACTAGTTTAGCTTGTTCCAGAGGTAGATAAAATAGCTAAGTGTGTTAGGTCTAACTCTTAGTGTGTGTTTTGCTCCGCTCACCGGTCCGTCACAGCGGGTGGAGCTGCAGGATTTCTGCTTCACACACGTTGCATACCGCTATTTTATTGTCATTTTCGGACATCTTAAAATACTGCCAGACCGGTGAAGCCATTTTGGCGAGCTTGTTTTGCCGCGCACAGAGAAAAGTGTCATGTATTTTACGTCATGCGATCGGCTCTCGCGATCTGCATTTTTAGAGAGCACCGATCGATCGGCAGAGAGTGAGTATCGGCCGATATCGATCGGCGGCCGATATCGATCGGAGCATCCCTAGAGTAAATCATGCAGAATGTTGCACTGATCTATCGGCAAAACATCAGTAGACAACATGTTGACATTCAAACCACATGAGAGATAGAGCGGCCACAAGGTAGAGATGCTCACAGTATCTTTAATATTAAGTACAGTATGCCAAAGGTAAAGGTAGCTGTATAGCACACTTTATAAATATTAATAAAATAAAAAGATTACTTAAGAGGCTGTTTCATAAGTTTGTAAGATTCAGTTTGTGCTTATTGCAAGATGAGTGCAACAAAGAGCTTAACAATTTCCGATCAGTTCAGTTATTTTTTTGATATATTTATATATATATATATATATATATATATATATATATATATATATATATATAACCACAAAAACAGTATCCATAACAAAAACTAAATACATCAGTTACTGCAATCTGTTAACAATTGTTCAATCATAACCGCCCAGAATTTCACAATTGATGCAACCCTAATATATATTCTTTCTTTATAGCAATTTTTGGGCCAATTCATGATATTGCTTTATAGATTGAAAACTCATTTTGACAGATTAATATTGCTTTTTTTAAGAGAAATTCATGGAAAGGGAATGCCTTAACAGCTGTAGGATTGATTGACATGTAATTTGATAGAGACATTAACCCTCCTTCAAGATGAATTCTTACTGAGCTCTTGACGCTTCCTCTTCAATGCGTCCAATACTTTTTTTTTTATAATAAATTGTGCAAAACTAAGGACACTCCCATTATCCTCAAATGCACTTTATGTTTAGTGCTAGTTAGAAAGCTGGTGAATATGCTTAAAATTACCTAAACATAAGCACATTTTTTAAATGAGTATGTTAGCTTGCTGATATTAGCATTTAGCTTTGGTTCTGCCTCAAAAAGTTGACGCTTAGTCTTGTTATAAGACTTTGGCAGTCAAATAGAGACACAACTACCTGCTTATTGTATCCATTAACAGTTTCACAATAAGCATTAACTGATTTTATGACATAAAACCACTTATATCATGAGAGAGTCTTTTATTCACCCTTAAACGACGTCTTACAAGCTACAAGTACTAACAAGCCGCACTAACAATTTCTCTGTAACTGCAATGCGGTACTTTTGAATGCCACTTTGATTCTGTGAGAAAAAGAAAATCTCACTAAACCACCACCGACTGAAACTCTCTTACTCTGTAAATCATCCACTTCTTTAATCAAAGCAACATCTGCATATTCCTGGACCGCTCAGTGAATCTGCAGTACATAATGACAAACCTCTCCTGACGCTGAGCTCATGAACGCATCGCAAAAACATGCAGGGTCACATTGCAGTATGTGTAGGTGGACCGGGATGTTGAGCCATATATAATTGCATTCATGTTGCTCCAACTTGCTGGCACCCACCCTTCTTGTCTCAATTCCAAAGAATGAAGACTGGAAAAGCCCGTCAGCAAGTTTTCCAAAATAGAAAAATCTAATAAAAAGGAATATTTTGTTGCTAAGACACAATCTAAAGCAATAAAAATGTGGTTTAACTGTGACAGCTGTTTATTCACCCGAAGGATGGGAATGTATAAACTACAGCCACAGCAACAGTTTACAGAGGATTTTCTATACTCTATCTAATAATGTCACCTTTAATAAGTATAATACAACTATTATAATATTCCTGACAGGGCACACAAATCATTAGAGGGCCCACCAGCAATGAGCAATTAATTAAAGCAAATTAGCTCATTAAAAAATGGCATTATGTTTCCCTATGACACAGTAAATCCCCCATTACTGTGACTGTAATTGGCAACCAATACACACCCCAATTACACACTGCACTGGTGTCATCAGGAAATCACTGCAATTACCGCATTGCATGATGGAAAATACCAGTGTTTTTGTTCATTTCAATGTCATGCCAACTTGAGGATAAGTCATACAAACACCTAAAACGTAACACCTGCGGTCGGCGTTAGGGTGGCGTACAAGGCGTGTGAGTCTGCACAAAACCAAAATGTGACGAGGCAGCACTTCTACCTGTTACGTGTGGGCAAGTGTGAGGTAAGTTGTTACCATTACACACAGGTGGTTGATTGTGAAAAAATAGAAACTCACCAGGGTTTTGAGGACCGGATGGTGAGGCAGTGGTGATGAATTCTTCCCCCCTGACGAAATGGGAATTTACATTCTTTGTTGTCTGTTGTTAGAACTGGCAACAGAGACAAAAAAAACAGCTTGTTAGTGATTTTTAGAGAACACAAAAGAGTGAAATCAGAAACTGGCTGAAAAAAATGCAATTCCCCCCTGCACCTCACACACAAAGACTCCTTTGACTTTGAATAGCTCTGATCAGAGAACAGTAAATCCATCTCCCTAGATACCTAAATCTGCAGGTAACAGACCTATACAAGCACTAACTCCCAAGGGATTACAGTTAAAGTTGCACCCACAACTTTCTCTGTAAGCTAAAAATATGACATATTCACTGCCAGTTAAATGTGCACCATCCCTCTTTTCTCATCTAAATCAAACCCAGGACTTAGGTAAAGCCTACCTTTCCGGGTCCCGCTGTATGGCACTTGTGAGGTCATTGATTCATACCCAGCAGACAGTATGCGCTGAAATAAGTGAAAATAAGTTATTGCAATTAACTTTTCACGCAAAATTGATTAAAACAAGTAAGTAGGGTGGTTCAAACTTACCCCCCTTGTACTGAAAACACAAGGTAGAAAAAGTAATACAAAGTATGCCATCATGAAAGTTTGTTGGTCCATCCGGAGAAGCTTGTTTCCAGAAGTCCGAGGAGGATCTGTGAGCCTGTCACGTTATATCTGTCAGTTTCCAAGTGATCAGCCTGCGTTTGGTCATAGGAGACGTGGGAAACCCTGCAAGTATTATCCTGTCCCTCACGCTTTCAAGCTGTATTGAGTAAACCCGTTGCGTCATTGGGCTCGTCTATCTCCGAGGCATCCTATATCCCGGCTGGTGTTCCCTCTGCACCTCTCTGCAGACGCCCAAGGTTTATCATTGTTAGTTATCCATGGAGAGAGGACAGACCAAAACTTTCCAGAGGCGGGGGGACTATCTGCTGCAAACTCCCTCCTTTTCAGACTCAGGCACCGTGTTAAAGTAACGCGTTACTGCAGTGTCACTTAACTTTATGCCTCATGTGATACTAAATATGTGTCAACTGTGGTGTCTGGATTTTGTAAACTTGTTTTGTTAATAAAGACTGAATAATATAATAGTAACTTTTGACATGTCTTTGTAAGTTTATCACCAGCAGCAAATTGCAGGTTAACTAAGCTAATGGGGTTAATGCATGTTGAGCTGTAGTTTAGCATATTAGGCTAACTCTACTGTAACGTGATGTAGCCTCAGTAATATAATTAAACCAATTGACATACAGTATTATAATAACCCCTTTTTAAATGAACACTTACAGGAGAGACCACGACTAAGTTCAATTTAAATTCTGACATCAAACTCATTAGTTAGCTCGTGTCTTTAGCCCAGTTAACTTTAGCTAACGCGTGTCCCAAACTGAAATGCTAACCCGGGTCCCACATAATATATTCTAAACGAATTAAAGTAAATGGGTTTAACAAAGTTTGACTTTGAAGTTCAAGGCTGTCGTGATAATTTAATAATTAATTGCAGAGGAAATTAAGTCAAGTGCCACGAGTCATGCCGATGTTTAAGCATGCTTAGAAGTTAGCTTAAATAACGCTAAGCTAAAGAGGAAAGCTAGCAGACGGTGTGCTAACAAACAGTGCTGGTTAACTGCCGATACCTACTTGTCACAGTATGTTAGCCTGGGACAAGTAGTGCTAGCTGATGTCACAAGATAGTAGTGATGGGAATTCCGGCTCTTCTTGGTGAGCCGGATCATTTGGCTCGGCTCACCAAGAAGAGCCGGCTCTTTCGGCTCCCAAACGGCTCTTCAGTTTACTACATATTATACCTTTTATAATTCAATCAAATGTAGCCCTGTTTTGACTCATGATTTATATGTGTACACATATCACTTAAATTATTCAATACATCCTTTGTACTGAAGTATTCAAAAGTAAAAATTACATGTTTAATATCAATTATTTGCTGTGGCCAGTTTTCATTGCATTTACAGACCCTTGTATCTCTCTGATACCACCCAATGAATGCACTGACTTGCTTGAACCACGCTACACAAAGCAGATAGCAACACCTATAAAAAACCCGAGGTGACAGGGCTTTCAGTGTTGCAGCTCCTAGACTGTGGAACAGCCTCCCAGTACATATCCGGACTGCTGAGTCTATTGAACTTTTTAAATCTCAGCTAAAAACTCACCTCTTTGCACTGGCTTTTAATACTAGTTGAACATTACATTTTTACATTTGTATGTGTTTTTTTTAAATATTTTTCTAGTTATTGTGCTTTTTATCATGTTTTTAATTATTGTTTTATTATTGTACTCCCATTGTGTTATTTAATATGTATTGCCTGTACAGCACTTTGGTCAACTGAAGGTTGTTTTAAATGTGCTATATAAATAAATAAAGATTGAGATTGAGATAAAAACTTAAGCATAGACATTTAAATAAAGGGGCTACTGTATCGACATTTTAAAATTATATTTAAAGAAAAGGCCCTGACTAAACAGCAGGGCTCTATTTCAGTATTAACTATAGAAAAAAAGACAGCAACAGCTGACATCAAATCTTTGCTGAGCCCAAGGATAATCATAAATAAATGACATAGTGAAAATAAATATATTGCAATGCTCAGTACAGCAGCATCCAACAGTCTCTAATCCTTGGATATTACATGTCACTGCATGCATGCACGGAGCAGCTGTAGCGCGGAGATCATCATATCATTCTGTCTTGTATTACTTAACAACAAAATAACAAAAAAAAAACGGCTCGTTCGCGGGCGCGAGCCGGCTCCCGTCGTTCACTTAAAAGAGCCGGCTCTTTGAGCCGGCTCGTTCGCGACCGACACATCACTACAAGATAGTTCTTTTTGGAAGTCCTGATACTGGTTATAGGTCTCTTCTTCTTTTATTCCCATCATAGATTCATAGATAGTACAAAAGGACTGCTTTGGGAGATGGTAAAAGAGCACAATGTGGAAGCAGTCTAGGCATAAAACATTCACAGATGGGTCATATCTTGTTTTTAAAATCAGATAAGCCCAATTTAAGGTGAATCAAGGATAAGGCAGGAAGTACAGTTCTCATCAAGAACTCAATAATGGCAGGCCCTTTGAAATAGGACAAGTATGAAAGTGAAGAGCCCAACCAACCTTGTGTGTTGTCAGCATTCCAGCAGTGACATGCTGTGTCAAGACAAACTACCCATTCCCATAATCTAACCTCTAATTTTCCCCAGCTGTAATAATCTCCTTCCAGATGCTGAGCTAAAAATACAAAGAGGAGGTTGGACAATTGAACAGCACTTTACATTGGTAAAAAAAAAAAATCCCAGGTGAAGGTAATGCGTTCCCAATGTGAAAATTGTTCAACTAAGACATCTCCAACGTTAATTATTAAAAGTCCCACTAACTTAGCAAACACATTAAACTGGCCAAATATGACGAGAAGAATTCAGGGCAGAGATTGTTTTATGTAAGACTTAGGGTCATAAAGTACAACAGAGGAGTATTTCAAATATTTGTTCACAAGGGTGTCTAGGGGGTTATTACAGGATGTTAAAGGATTCCCTTACTGACATAAAACAATGAATAAATCCTATAAATTATGCATTTACAAACGAAAAGAGAACTTTTGATTCAAATTACAGCAAACAAAGCTTTTTAATCATTCAACATGTGGACAACCTCACACAACCACAGAAGCAGGAAGTACAGGCAACAAAGGTACCATCATGTATTATCTGTAAAACATAAGAAGAAAATATATACAAAAAAACTTAAATATGCAAGAAAAATTGTGATTTACCTCCCTTTTGATCCTATATAACAAAGTACGATCTAGCATATGATGCCAGAACATTTGGTACCACTTTCTAATAGGGTACCAGTAGTTTGACAAAAATGTTTTAGCCCAAGGTGCTCTTACTAGATGAGTATTTTTTATCTTTCCACTATATCCCACAGCCTTCCTCAGCAGAAGAAAAGCTAGTAAATTGACATTAGGTCAAGATTTTTTGTTCAAACTTTAAGTTGCAATTAATAGCTTCATTAATGGTATTATTTTACATTTTGGTTATGCTTTTGAGTTCATTCAATACATTTTTTCAGAGCTTTTCATCTACATCTCACAATTTTCCTAACCTGTGAGTGTCTTTAAATGTAATTGATGGCTTAATCAATTATGAATCTCTTCTCTTGTATATGTTGTTCCCACAAGGTATTTTAATGTAGCTGTTCAATTCATACAGATAGCTTATAAGAGAGTTACATTTATAATAAACCCAATAATGACAACTTTTAATCCTAAATGCCTATTAGAAACTGGTACCATTAAGTTAATTTCAGGTTTCTTCCATTGTTGTCCTTAGTCTAACATGGCTCACAATAGAAATGATTTTGAACTTCATTATTAAACAAAAACATATCACTGCCTAAAAATTACAACCAGTACTAAAAATCGACAAGAATACGCCAGAATTCGTAACAAATATACAATATCTATCACCATAATATTGACTTTTTTTTGGAGTGTACATGCAGCCCATTGTTTGACAGTGCCTTAGGCTTAAAAAGTGCAGCAGTGGGGTTTCCCTTTAGACGATTGTGGCCTTGTAAAGGTCTGTCTGGCAGTCCTGGCCCTCTGGTGGGTTCCGGCCACTCTGGGGTATCTGGGTGCTCCTCAGCTTGCTCTGGCACTGCCGCAGCTCAGCCACGTAGCCCTGGAAGCTCAGGCTGAGCTCAGACTCCTCTCCCTGGGATGTTTCCAGTGTCCCCTCCTCCAGGTGGACCCCCTCCACATCCATCACCTCCGGAGCCGTCTGTGCAGCGTCGACTCTGTCGGTGGCTGATTTGGTGTCAGAGCTTGGTTTTGTTTTTCCCTCTGTGCATGGGAGAAAGGAAAGACAGATTGAAGATAAGTTGATGCTTTATGGGCAGCCAATGTCTATTTGAATATTTCATTTGAAAATGTGCAAAGACAAAAACACTGAAAGGGGCATTCATAGATTTTTTTGGCCACTTGGAGGCAATATAGATATATAGATTACAGTTACTCAATTACACATCGAGAAGACACGACAAACATTGTTTCTTTAATTCTTTTGTGTTCTGATAAATCCAAGCTCAATATTCACTCCACTACAAGTCTGATTGTTTTTGCCATCATGTTATCGTGCTTGGCTCATAGCCCACATATCTTTTTTATTAAAACAGCTGCAAGCTCCAGTTTATAGGAGCAGATGTTTTAAGGTTTAAAAACCAAAACAATGAGCTAAAACTCGAAATAAAGAACATAGAGCTTGGCTTCAGATGTGGGAGATTATTTTCAGAGTTTCACTTCTTATAAACTTGATTCATTTTTTGTAACTTAATATTGATCACTGCACCCATTTTACATTATGGTTAAAAGTATATTTAAAAGAATATATCCCATCTCTTTGCGACTTGGACTCATTTGGACCATGTCTTCTAATTAGACTGCTTCATGACCAGATGCGTAATATGAGTGTTTTCCATTTCAGCGGCTCTAAGAAACATGTCATCCATTGCGTGGCTGCCCATGCATTGTAGCTCAAATGAACACATTAGTTGAATATGTTTGTGTAATGTGACAGTTGCATAATCTGGACAGCTGTTGTCAAGACAATCTGGATGACATAAATGTCTTGGCTCAAACTTGCTGAACTCACTTGCCAACCATGGGGGAGAACTGCATGGATATTATTAAATATGAATAAATGGACTTGGATGAGTTGTCCCATGTTGTATATTACAACTTCACAATTTGGGCTTCATTTCAAACAAGCTGTATTCATCAAAGGCTTTTACTGTTTGATAACCAAAGTTAAAAGCACATTTTAAGAGGGTGATGGGCAAAAAAGAATCCTCCTCTTCTCATGAAAGTGTACTCATGGGGCTAAAACCCCAATGTTTCCAGGATGTTGGCATTACAGTCACTGATAGACTCCCCACTTCTCATGTGAACCCTGTGGCCCCACAGACTCTAAACACAGAGGCCCGAGTGACTCAAACACAGCACTTCAACACATAGACGCTCCCAACTCCACCGACTGTGATTCACTGCTGTTCAGTGCAGATGTAAACACAGCCTGTGAGCTCCAACAGCTGACCTTACACAGACCCTCAGCAGAACCACTGCGGCACAACAGAATCCATCAAGGTGAACACGAAACAGCTTCAATAACTGTTCAACGACTGTCAATAGGTTCTCTGAAGCTTAAAGACATAATTTAGACATGTTTTAGGCAAATAAGGAGAGACTTTGATTAGAATTAGATATACTTGATGGTATATCAACATTAATCACAGGGGTTTCCACAGGATGTGATGCATTGATGCTGTCGTGCAGAGCTGCTAGGTGACACATGATGAATTGGTGTACATTTGAAATTGAATGCAACAGTGATTATTTTTATAATTAATTGGCTGCAAGTCATTTTGTAGATAAATTGATTGTTTGATCTATACAATTTCAAAAAATAATGAAAATCGCCACCAAGGTAATGTCTTTACATGTCACGATTTGTCAGTCCAAAACCCAGAGATCTTAATATGTTAAGTTATTATGATTTTTAAATTACTGAGAAGCGGAAAACTTCCCTTTTTACTGCCAGTTTTGAACCAGGAACTATTTATACTACTTTGAAAGCCATGAATGTATTCATCCATCCATCCTCTACCCCAGGAAATATTTTTTTTAAATCCATTATTTTCGAAAAATGAATTTACAATTGCAATTTTCCTGTGAAATACTTTTCCTCAGATTTACAAAAGGAAACCAAAAATCACATTATGCCTCAGGTGCTCATAAATATTTAAATTTTAACACAAGTCACAAGTTAACATTTGTCCTTTTTAAAAGGGTACAACTGCGATTAAATGTCACAAAATAGTTAAATAATATGCGTCTTTGGGACTCATCACAACTAATCATATCTGTTTTTGATTAATTTACCCTAAAAACTGATCATATCAATCATAGTCTCAGCTCTTGTCACAAGCCAAAAAGGATGTGAACACATGCTTCATACTCACTTTGTACTGTTATGGGTCAGGCAGGGGGGGTGCAGCCTATCCCAGCATGCATTGTAGCCTATCCCAAAGAAACAAACACCCTGTCACAGGGGACTTCCAAGATGTTGATACTAATAGAAGAAGGTTCTACTGTAAACACTGAGCCACCATGCTCCCAAGTCTTGTTCAAAATGTTAAAACCTTATGTATATATTTTAACTAAATAAACATTAAGAACATGTTGAGATAGCTTAATTATGCCTGATGTCTTGCCTTCTCTACAAAAGATCACCTCACAAGATTAAGTGTGTTTCTCCCAGCCATCATTTTTCACCTTTTTCAAGCATGTCTTCGGTGTCCCAGCTTGCTATCTGGGCTGTGACGTGCAAACATGATGCCTAAACAGAGCTGTTTGACACAGCCATGCCTCCTATGGTGAGTTTTGTCCACAGACATGGCAGCAGCCTGGAGCTGAAAAAGAGCCTGGATCGCACTCAGCTACAGAGAGTGCTGCCAAAAATCTGCGCGCAGCCCTCCTCTGATCACCAGACGGATGATAAGGCTGGCCCAGGGTCAGATCTGCCGGCTTTGAGAGCTGACAAGAGGAAGATGGCGGGAAAACTGAGCCATATGGTCCCTCAGGTGTACTGCAGAGTCATTACTGAGCCCTTTTTGTAGATAGCCCGGCCTCAGGGTAGATTTACTCCCAGGAATTCTTTCATCTTCCCCAAATGAGCCAAACTATTCCTCTGAATTAAAACAGAAAGCATCTAACCTTTAAACCCTTCCTCAATTAATCAGTTCTGGCTCAATTCCTACCTTTATTTCCGACTCAAAACTCTATGCATTGAGTTGTTCATGCCACTCAGATGGAGTTACACTGTGTGATGTCGCCCCCTAGTGGGCACTCCCCTCATGACTCACAGTGTGTCAGACAGGGTGAAGCGATTACAGCCATCATTAGGAAATTATCCCGGTGACCCCTGCTAAAGGCCTCCAGATACAGACCGCAGGCCTTCTGGTTTCATTCTAACAGACTAATCAGGGGGTAATTTACACCAAATATGCCGAGTAAATGCAACTAACTGTCGAGCCAGAAATACTCTTGGTACTAATATAACTCTGCCTTAGAGCCACCGTTTTAGAAGCTAATTCGTATACCGATTACAGGGTATTCAGAAGACAAATTCTACCCGTAAT